CTCCTCATGAAATTGGGAGTTTGTTTTAAGTCAAGATGATTCCTTTTCACTAGACTGCAATTTATTTTTGTAGCATCTCCTCTAAATTCCACTTTTTAGTGGCATTCCTCCTCGGAGTCGACGTGTTGAAGTTGTAATCTTGCATCACGGTTTTTTACCCGGTGATTGGTAGTTCAAATTGTCTATTCTTCGGTAAGGTTTACCATTCCAAACAGGGGCATGTCGCCCCAACTTCTGTTTTTGCAAGTACTGTTGGTCTTTTATGACAAAAATCATACCAACAAATGAATCAAGAAGGGTCTGTATGTGACCAACATGAGGATTTTCGTATAAAGAGATCCAATTTCCCCAGTGGAACTATTCTTCTTTCCGTAATGGGGCAAGTGTTCTATCTTTCTAGTAAGGCGTACAAGATAATTCCAGTCATGACTCTTTCGTTACCAGTGGTAGAAGATTTTATTGAGATATCCCTAGTGGCGTTTTTATCCCGGGATGTTTGTTTCTTCCCCAAGTGAGGATCTTTTACCTCCCAACAACATTATCCCCAGTACGGTCTGAGTAGAATTCTTTTTATTTAAGAATTTCTATACTCCCCAGTAGGAGCTATCTTCGTCAAGAAGTTTTATGCCAGAAATTTCCATCCCCAACGAAGCTTTCTTCTTTCTAACAGAAGATGAAAGATTCGTTCCCCAAGAAGCTGGGACTTTGGTCAGAATTCAAGGTTTTCTCTGAAGCTGCAATTTATTTTTGCAGTATTACTCCTTAGGAATTTATTTCTTTAATGTTATCAATCGTTCGAGGTTGATGGTTTCGAATCTCAGTTCCCCATTGAAGTTCATATTGCATTTTCTCCACAAGAAGATCAGATGTGCGAGAAAAATCGTTCGGAAGTTCATGGTCTTCTTAGCATCCGATTATTGATATGTTTTCCAATGCATTACTAAACATGCATCATTACATTGCATCGGTACATTGTGTCTATTAAAACGCATAGCATTTCCATTGTATGGAGCATTACGCTATATAAAAATTCAAACATGCATGAGTATAAGCCAATTATGTCCACCTGCGGTAACCATATTGTTATACGCTCAGATTTGATTTATCTCTACAACAAGCCTAGGGTAATTCTATTATGTTTCCCCAGCAGAGTTAATTTCATTCACCACCAGTCGGGTCTTTGGTGTTTCTCCATTTCCCCAGTAAGTTTGTGGTTTGCGCTTGTCTTTGCAAGCTTTTGGTTATTTTACCCGTGTTTGCTTTGCCGTTAGAGTGCGAGTGAGATTCGGTGTATAGCCTTTCTCGCTTCTTAAGTATTTGAGAATCCATACTTGGTGTATGGTAATTCAGATGATTGCCACTTTTGAAGAATTACACCCCGCCTTTGGCCTGAGGGATTTTATAGTTCTTGCGTATTTGCAACCTACCGAAAGTCCAACGTGTTTTGGCAATCCTTGTTAGATTCTGCTTTGACCAGTCTCTTTCTCTTGTAGAGTTCACCTCCGATATGTGCTCTTTTAAGGTCATGCGTAGTCGGTTCCTTGTTTTGGTTTATCCGCGTTAGTCGGGTCCTCCTTTCGTTAGCTTAGCTAACTTTTTTTTTATGTTAAGAGTCTTTAAGTGTCTCTTCAAAGTCCAGTTGTCTGGCGTCCTTGTTTAGGTGAATGCGTCCTTTCTTGTTGGGGCTTTCTTCAGTTAGTCTCGTTCTCGTGTTCACTATCAACTCCAAACATTTGTTTCTTAATGCTCAATTTCTCTCTTGTGTGTCTAATTCTAACCAGATATGCATATCTTTATCAATTTTAAGTTCGCCCTTGATCGGTGTTCTTTCCTCTTAAAATCCATCTTTGGCTGGTATCCTTTGTTAAAATCCATCTTCGGCTAGTATCATTTGTTAAAATCCATCTTCGGCTGGTATCATTTGTTAAAATACATCTTCGGCTGGTATCATTTGTTAAAATCTATCTTCGGCTGGTATCATTTGTTGAAATCCATCTTCAGCTGGTATCATTTTTTGAAATCCATCTTCGGCTGGTATCATTTGTTAAAATCCATCTTCGGCTGGTATCATTTGTTAAAATCCATCTTCGGCTGGTATCATTTGTTAAAATCCATCTTCGGCTGGTATCATTTGTTAAAATCCATCTTCGGCTGGTATCATTTGTTAAAATCCATCTTCGGCTGGTACCCTTTGTTAAATATCCACCTTCGGCTGGTATCCTTTGTTAAAATCCACCTTCGGCTGGTATCCTTTGTTAAAATACATCTTCGACTGGTATCATTTGTTAAAATCCATCTTCGGTTGGTATCCTTTGTTAAAAATCCACCTTTGACTGGTATCCTTTGTTAAAATCCATCTTCGGCTGGTATCCTTTGTTAAAATCCATCTTCGGCTGGTATCCTTTGTTAAAATCCATCTTCGGCTGGTATCATTTGTTAAAATCCATCTTTGGCTGGTATCCTTTGTTAAAATCCATCTTCGGCTGGTATCATTTGTTAAAATCCATATTCGGCTGGTATCCTTTGTTAAAATCCATCTTCGGCTGGTATCCTTTGTTAAAATCCATCTTCGGCTGGTATCCTTGGTTAAAATCCATCTTCGGCTGGTATCATTTGTTAAAATCCATCTTCGGATGGTATCCTTTGTTAAAATCCATCTTCGACTGGTATCATTTGTTAAAATCCATCTTCGGCTGGTATCATTTGTTAAAATCCATCTTCGGTTGGTATCATTTGTTGAAATCCATCTTCGGCTGGTATCATTTGTTAAAATCCATCTTCGGCTGGTATCATTTGTTAAAATCCATCTTCGGCTGATATCCTTTGTTAAAATCCATCTTCGGTTGGTATCATTTGTTAAAATCCATCTTCGGCTGGTATCATTTGTTAAAATCCATCTTCGGTTGGTATCATTTGTTAAAATCCATCTTCGGCAGGTATCCTTTGTTAAAATCCATCTTCGGCTGGTATCATTTGTTAAAATCCATCTTCGGCTGGTATCCTTTGTTAAAATCCATCTTCGGCTGGTATCATTTGTTAAAATCCATCTTCGGCTGGTATCATTTGTTAAAATCCATATTCGGCTGGTATCATTTGTTAAAATCCATCTTCGGCTGGTATCATTTGTTGAAATCCATCTTCGGCTGGTATCATTTGTTAAAATCCATCTTCGGCTGGTATCCTTTGTTAAAATCCATCTTCGGCTGGTATCCTTTGTTAAAATCCATCTTCGGCTGGTATCATTTGTTAAAATCCATCTTCGACTGGTATCATTTGTTAAAATCCATCTTCGGCTGGTATCATTTGTTAAAATCCATCTTCGGCTGGTATCATTTGTTAAATCCACCTTCGGATGGTATCCTTTGTTAAAATCCACCTCCGGCTGGTATCTTTTGTTGAGAGTCACCTTCGGATGGTCTCTTTTCGGTTAAAAGTTCGCCTTTGATCGTCGTTCTTTTCTTAGGAATCTACCTTCGGCATTGTATTCCTTGATGACGATCCCCCTTCGGCTGGTATCTTTTCATTGTAAGTTCGCCTTTGATTGATGTTCCTTCATCATATCCTTCTTCGGTCAGTCTCTTTCTTTTGTATGTCTAACATCGACCTGACATCCAAGAGATTTACTCAGCTGACTACTCTAATCCAAAAAACAAAAAAAATGTAGAATAAAAAAATATGATAATACCTTACTGGCTTCGGAGCGCAAATTTTCGGGTTCTTTTAAGTATTTAATCTTTTTCCACCTGGAAGGTTCGAAAGGCTGGCGCCAATCTCACCTTTAGGTTTAAGAAGATTAAATAGGGGCAGTTGTTGCATCCCAAATTTTTCCTTCATAATTTCTTTTATCTGGCTTAGACTCTTGCATTCATCTGTATATATTCCATTAGGTCATTAACATACTTTGCATTCAATAAAGCGCTTAAGGTTCAAAGTTCAGTGGTTGTGCGATATTAGGGTTTCGTAGTGGTTAAGGCGTTCGTGTCTGATAAAGGCTGATTTCTTATTCCGGCAGCGAGCAGTGGGATTAGGGTTGTGACCTGGGTCGTTGAGAATTTCTTTCTTCATCAAGACACGAGGCTATCATGGTTTATTTTCCTATATGGGATTAAAGCCAAGTTTTCGGTAATTATGGTCCAATCAGGTTTTTCGTCAAAGATCATGAGATTAGGGTTTGTTTTATCAAGGGACTTTCTCAGAGAACCTTATATTGTGCGTCAGGAATTATCATCTTCAAGGGAATTTCTTAAGGATTTTAGCCTCACATTTTCAAGTAGACATGTTTGTGACTTGAATTACAAAAGTTGAAGCACAACATAAGATATGATGCGGGAAAGTGCTAATTGAGTTAGACGAACATGAATAAAGGCTTTGATTTTGGGCAATTTCAATATGGAGAGGTTGTTTTCGGGACTGAGTTTATGCGTGAATATTATTGATTCAATTGAATGTTATGTCATATCTTGAGTACAGGACTAGTTCATTGAATATGCAAGTTGGTTGGAATTCGTTCACTGAGTCATGAAGTTAAGTGCTTAGAGGATAATCAAATGGTACTAAAGAAATCTAAGCATTGGTTTATTTTCAATAATTTGATTCAAGCGAGTTTGGAGACCTTAATCATAAGGGTTTCTTGGAATGCAAAAGATGAGATACAAATGGTAAGGCATAATCATTCATTATAATTCCATTCAAGTGATTATTTTGGTTCAAGTTGTCACTTTCAGTATCATTCAAATACCGTTCAAAATCAATCCAAATACATTCCAAACTTTCATTTACGTCATTCAAATTCAACATCTCAATATTCATCGTTCAATGTCCACTCGAAAATTCATGCTCGTTCAACCATTGTTTCTAGGCATCATGTAAATGTTTCTAAGCGATTCACTTTGAATTTACAAATTCATATTACATTCCAAAGAAACTACAAAAAAATTGTAAATTACACAAAGATACACTAAATCTATCCTGCCTAAACATTAGCTCCATTATTTTCCATGTTATGACTTCGTGATGCCATTTTTGCAACCTCCAAAATTCTTTGTCAAACTTTGATTCAACCATGCACAAAATTGCTATTGTGATAGATTTCATGTCCCTGCTCCAAGTTTTCCAACCCTGCACTTTACAAAACATAAACAGTCCATAAATTCAATCAGAAAAATAGTTTAGCAACTTGCAAACAAAACCAGTTCAGAAAAGAAGAATCGCTAAGATGCCATCTACACTGTGCTAAAACAGTTGCCGTGATAAAGCATGTTTCAAATTTACAGTTACCATAAAATACTAATAGTCAGCCCTGCACGTTTAGAATTTAGCAGTTCATGACCATTCAAAACCAGGCTATATACCAGAATTTCCACCCAACCAAACCTTGTACCAGACCATAACTACCCTGCATTAACAAACTTAGATCATTCCTAACTCCTCTGAATTCAAAACAGCATTGCTAACAGGATTTATGCTAAGCCTAATTTCAAACCAATACAAACTAATCCTAACTGTCAAAACATGATTTTATAACTAAACTCCTAACTGTCCATAACTGAATTAAAAGGTAGGTAGCTAACCTCTATCAAATCCATCTCACCCATTCCTTTTATAACAAATCTGCTGTGACGGCATGCTTCGGTCGGAATAAAAGTTGCAAAGCCAAAATCAAAACAGTTTGCATGACCTGCACATTAACACAAAGAACAGATGTAATTAGCCTTTAACCAAAACTAGTTCAACACCAAAACAACCCTTCGTCTAACCATGACCCAAACCATTCAAGCTACCGATCAACCCTGCGCATGAAAGCCTAAAATCAGTTAAGCAAGTTAATGGTTACAGTCCAACATTCGACAGAAAAATAAGAAGCCATGTCTTAACTGAATTTGGTTTCAGCATAACAAAAAAAATCAGCAACTTCTAATAGAAGTCATAACAGCTCGACTTTCATTCAAATCTCAACCATTCATTTTTCCTAACTAATTTTCAGATTAACCACTCAAATCAAAATAGATCCCTAATTGATTTTTTAACCAACTAACAGAACTTCCAAATAGAATCCTAACTTCTGTAACTGTTTCCTAACTTCCTAAATATCTAACAGAATTTCCAAACTGTTTAAAAAAAACAAATTGATAGTTTCTAACTTCTTCTAATTCCCTAATTGTTTTTCTAATAAGCAACTAACAAAAAATAACTAACTTTCATTCCTAACAAAATGTAACCAAATCAGTTACACATAACAAAAGAGAACACACTTTAAAAAATAGAAAATTACCTGAGATAAAGAAGATTTTTTATCTTCCGGATTCTGTAGAAAAATCATAAAAAAGGGCTCTTTCTCCATAACCACGGGCCAAATTCAACCTTCTTTCTCCTCCTCTCATCCTCATCCTTTAACATGGCCAAGCATTCATCTTCTCCGGGCCTCTGAAAACTCTCCAACCCTTTAAATAACTTTCTAGCTATTTTATCAAAACCCTCTACAATCTGTACAAAAAGATAAGAGAAGATAGGGGGGGGGGGGATATTCTGCAGAATCACCAAATAGAAAATCTAAACAAATAATTTGGCTTCTCCTCTCATCATCATCTTCACCACTCTCCAATCATTCTAAGAATCACCACCAAAAATATCTCAGAAGTCTTCAATCTCTCTGTGACCTTCATCTCAGAGTCTCTACATCTTCTCCAACCTTTTATCCATCATCTTCTGAAGAGAACACTTTAATCAACAAACCACCAACCTTCATCTTCCTCGCATCAATCTTCAATAACATTTTTCACGCCATTGCCATTACTTCAATCTTCCTGAAACTTTATCATCAACAAACCTCACAGCATCACAATTGATGCAACACAGCACGATGTAAATACGCACAAAAAATGTCAGATGTAGAAGAAGCATACTCGGAAAAGGCAATAGTGCAGAATCAGAAAACAAAGGTAAAAGAGAGGATCAGAAATACCTGAGATTTACTTCACCATAAGCACATTAATATCCATCGCTTTCGGTCGTTCTTTATGCGATTGGGTAGAGTGAGAAGAGAATGATCGAACCTCCATGGACTCAAGCACTGAAGCTCAGGGATAAGAGTTTAATTGAAAAAGCAAGAAATAGGGTATTACTGTTCAACTACGGCATCAGAAGAAGACGAAGAAGAATTATATGGGAATTATGATAGATGACGAGGCCAAGCATTCGATCTCCGGATAGTTGTAATCGCCGACGGCCTTGGCGCGACGGCGGCTAGGGTTTGGGAATTGGAAGCTTGAGCATATGAACGTGATAGAATAGGGAAAGAATGTAGGTATGGCCCACCCCCGCTTTTACATTTTTTTATTCGTTTGAATTAGCGTTGGACCAACAAGATTAGGCCTCTAGTGCTTGAAATTTGCTTCATCATAAATCCTGATTTGGACCGCACCACCCCTTAAGTCGATTTAGAGTTTTTTATGTGAGGCATGGAAGAACTGTAACAAAAAAAAAAGGGAGAGCTTCTTGGATTGGGCCTAGCACCAAAGTCCTGAACTACTGAGCTTACCACCCGAATTCCAGCATACACCCCCCTGAGTCTTCTAACTTCTTTTTTATTTTAGTTTTTCTTTTAGTTTAATTTTCTCTCTTAATTGATAATAAAAATGATGCAAAAATATTAGAATGTTTTAGAACTCTTTAGAACCTCTCTTTGGATTTTTATTAGAGTTTTCTATTATTTTCATGTTTGTTAAATCATTTTTGTTGTCATTTTTAGCTAAGATTTTATGATAGAATATTAATGTAATTTTTGCAATGTGGAATGCCGGGAGATTAATTCTTTGATCACTCGTGCAGAGCAGCTTTTGGTAGAGTTTCCTTATTGCTTGCACGGTTTCAAAGAGGAAACTGACCTTCTCCGTTCGGTATCATCACAACCTCATTTTATTCCTCATATTCGCATTTATCACTTCCTAGAGATCATGTGAAGTATAATAACATTAGGTTTAGAAATAGGCTAGACTCCCCTTGACTATTCTTCCACTTTTGCATTTGCACTAAAACTAAAACTTCTTTTTCTTACAAACTTCAAAAATACTTAAAAATTACTGACGAGAATCGTGCCTTTGTTGAACATGGGAGATGATAAGCGGGTCTCTTCTCGATCTTATCATTTTTTCATTCTAAGCCTTGGCATGGTTCAAGTCTCAAAGACTCATTTCATGAATAAGTAGAAAAATGGCTAATATCTCTCTCTTGAGATCAACTAGTTGTTATCTATAATCAAAAACACTAACAAACGCAAACTCTTTTGCCTACGGGCTTTTCTTTCAAAACCTTTTCAAAAGAGCATGTTAATTCACTTTTGTGCTAAAGCATAAGTCTCCAAAGGTCGAGTTGCGGCAGAAGGCAAAATTAATATTGTCCATTAAAAACACAAACCAATTCAAACCTTTTTGTGCGCCCAAGCACCTTTTCTCCAAACTTTTTCAAAAGAGCATGTTAATTCACTTCTGTACTGACGCGTAAGTCTCCAAAGGTCGAGTTGCGGCAGAAGGAGAAATTAATATTGTTCATTAAAAAATACAAACCAACAAAAACATATGAGCCGAACTACGGCTGCTCTGATTCCTTAAAAGGGATACGTAGGCATTGGGGTAGGGCCCGAACGAGCACCACTTTTATTTTCCCTACATTCTTTTCTCTTTTTCTTTTGCATGCATTCTCCCTTCAGTAGTATAGTAAACAATAAGCATAGATTGAACACACCCATAAGATAGATAACAAGAGTGGATACTGTAGAGTACTACGGGCGCGTGGGGTGCTAATACCTTTCCCTCGTGTAACAGACTCCCTTAACCTTATCTCTCGATCGCAAGACTGTGACTTCTCCCTTCTCAGGTTTTCTCGATGTTTACCTTTCCCTACCCGTGGGATAAAAAACGTTCGATGGCGACTTCATTGTTTGATGATTTTCAGCCGGTTGTTTCAGTCATCATGGGATCAGGCAAGGTAAAATAGTGAACGGTTTCATTATCAATCGGGAGTCTATACTGGTTGGGATTAAAGTAGACTCTTCTCATCAGCCCACGATCCAAACAGAAATCAATGTCCATTGTAGTGTATCCACAGTATGAGGTAAGGTGATATAACTTACTTGTATGACCCAAAGCAGAAGCAATCTGAGTCACTGTCCCTCCCACATGGAGGATACCTTCAGTGGACTTAGAAGTCATCATGAGATTCCACAGCAGAAAATTTCCATAGGCTACAGGGTGAGACTGGGTCGCACAGTAGAGGAAAAATATCTCATCCTCGCTAACATGGGTATCTGTGTTGGCCTTCCCTAGGAAAGTGTGAGCAATAACCATCTGAAAATACCTGAAAGTGGGGTTGTGAATAAAAGGGGATAACTGAGTGGAAGGATCAAGGCTCCCTCCAGCAGTAATATCTCTCCAGAATTTCTCTATGCCCCTAGTCATGAAATAGCCAATTGGTAGCTCAGGTATAGCATCGGGTGTGGTCTAGAAGCCTAGCAAGTCTCCAAACTCCCTCTGGGTAAAACAATATTCTATCCCAAATAGTCTGAAAGTGAGATATCCATCCTGGCCATTATAAGGCTCAAACTCGAATGAACTGAGGAATTCTAAGGTGAGGTTCCTTTAGGTCACATTTAGGTCATCTGCATACTCGTCCCACTTTAGCTGGTTGCATTGATACTTGATACTGGCTTCAAAGCCAAGAGCTTCCATGCAAATCTGGTCTGGATATCTGGTCGGTGCCTTGGGTCGCTGTGAAAGGACTGCATAGCGTTGTCTCTGAGTGTCATCTCGGAAGGAAACATGCATGTCATCGAAATGCTCCATCCTGAAAAATGTAGTTAGCAAAGACGGCTAGCAGGTGATGCCTGAAATCATAAATTTTGCAATTGTTAGTATAAAGATAAAAAATAAAATTTTGATAAAGTAAAAAGTAAATAAATGCAAAAAATATAAATAAACCCATGGGTTGCCTCCCATGCAGCGCTTGTTTAACGTTGTTAGCTTGACAAGTAAACTTCATATATAGGAAACTGGTACTGGTGGATCAATCAGAGTGTGGCTGGAGTAGTTGGTGGGAATGTCACCTCCTTCGTAGTGCTTCAACCTCTGCCCATTGATGATGAATGGTCTACAAGAATTGTTCTTGATCTCGACTGCTCCAGATCTTATGAATCTATAGACCTCAAAAGGACCAGTCCATCTTGAACGTAGCTTGCCAGGAAAAAGTTACAACCTGGAATTGAAAAGGAGAACAAGGTCACCTATATTAAAATATTTCTTTACAATTCTTCTGTCCTGCCAAGTTTTGGTACTTTCTTTATATATTATAGCATTCTCATAGGCAGACTGGCAGAATTCCTCCAATTTATGAATGTCAAGGATGCGCTTTTCACCAACAATCAAATATTCCAAATTCAGGGCCTTAATGGCCCAATAGGCTTTATGCTCTAACTCGAATGGTAAATGACAAGATTTTCCATAGACTAATTGGTAAGGGGTTGTTCCAATAGGGGTTTTAAAAGCTGTTCTGTAGGCCCATAGTGTTTCATGTAGCTTCTGAGACCAATCCTTTCTGGAAATTGAAACGGATTTTTCTAAGATTTGTTTAATCTCCCTGTTAGACACTTCTACTTGGCCGTTAGTCTGTGGATGATAAGGTGTTTCTACTTTGTGCTTTACTCCATACTTACTCAAGAGCTTATCAAAGATTCTGGATATGAAATGTGATCCTCCATCACTTATAACGAGACGGGGTGTTCCAAACCTCAGAAAAATGATATTCTTAAATAACTTGACTACCACTCTTGTGTCATTTGTGGGTGATGCAATAGCCTCAATCCATTTATACATGTAGTCCACAACTACCAAAATGTACCTATTTCCCATTGAAGGTGGAAATGGTCCTATAAAGTCTATACCCCAAACATCAAAGAGTTCAACTTCCTGGATATTCCTCATTGGCATCTCGTCACGTCTTGATATGTTCCTGGTGCATTGGCATCGGTCGCACTTGACAATGTAGGATTGAACATCGCGCCATAAAGTTGGCCAATAGAGGCCTGCTTGAAGAATCTTGGCGTGCGTTTTAGATATACCTGCATGTCCACCATAAGGTGCAGAATGACAATGTCTGATGATGTCTTCTATTTCCTCTTCTGGGATGCAACGCCTGCAAATATTATATATTCCTCTCTTGAATAGGAGTGGTTCATCCCAGTAGAAATGTCTAACATCTTTGAAGAACTTCTTTTTATGTTGGTAATTTAGATCAGGGGGTATGATATCTGTAGCTAGGTAGTTTACAAAATCAGTGTACCAAGGTACGCTCTTCATTACTGAAATTTTTTCAAAATCCTTATCTCTGTAAGGCTCGAAATCATCAGTCTTAGCTATAAGTCTGTCATAGGTGAAATCATCATTTATAGACAATAAGTCAGGTTTTAAGTGTTCTAATCTAGAGTGGTGGTGAGCGACAACATTCTCTGTGCCTTTCTTATCCTTAATGTCTAGATCAAAATCTTGGAGTAACGGGATCCATCTGAGTAATCTAGGTTTAACGTCCTTTTTATCTAATAGATAACGTATGGCAGCATGATCAATGTAAACAATGATCTTCGCTCCAACTAGGTAGGACCTAAACTTATCTATCGCAAAAATTACTGCCAGTAATTCTTTCTCTGTTGTTGCATAGTTGAGTTGGGCGGTATATAGGGTTCTACTAGCATAATATATAACATGTAATTTCTTGTCTTTTCGTTGTCCTAGAACAACACCAACTGCATAATCGCTGGCATCACACATGATTTCAAAAGGTTGTGTCCAATCTGGGGGTTGCATGATTGGAGTTGAAATCAGTGCTTGTTTCAAAAATTTAAAAGCTTCGAGACATTTCTCGTCAAAAACAAATTCAACATCCTTCATTAGAAGATTAGTCAAAGGTTTTGTTATTTTAGAGAAGTCTTTTATAAAACACCGATAAAAACCAGCATGTTCAAGAAAACTTCTAATCTCCCTAATGGTTTTAGGTGGGTTGAGGTTTTCTATAA